CGACTCCACCTACTACTCTACCTCCACTACTCTCTCTCTCTCTCTCTCTCTCTCTCGATCTCTCGCTCTGACCTAAACTTGATCCCAAGTCTAGGTTACATATAGTAATGGGACTTTGATTTTGAAGAAGACACGAACCAAGATACTCCAATTTGTCACCTTCCTCGGCAATCGGAAACATTTCAACTGCACATGGGCCCAGCAGCAAATTTATAGTCTATCAACATGCCATGTGCTATAGGGAATGTCGGGATACTGTTCTGCCCAACGCTGCAAACTCACCCTCATATCACACTACCGGCGATCTGCAGGTGGATATGCTGGACGAGCACGAAAACCGGATCTCATTCGTATTACTCATCTGTGCATGCAAAGGCTATATTTAAGGCTATCACTGTCTTGTTACGGACGTATCAAATTAAGCCGTTAGATTAGGTATCCGTGAGGATTTGCCTTTTAATGGGGTGGGACGATGAAATAAAAAATGAGTAGGGATTAAAGAATAAAATGAAATAAAAGATGGGTGGGGACGACAGAATAAAAGATGGGTGGGGATTAGGGTGACTCCCCACCTAATCCGTATCTGTCGTCGGCTTTATGAGTTTAGACGGTTCATCTATTTGATTCAATTTATATTAGATTTAATTTTGATAGAGTCAATTATATATTATTTGATTTGATTGAATCAAATAAATAATATTAATAGATAGCAGTAAAACCCCCTCTCCCATGGCCTATGTGTTGGAGGAATAGATTCGATATTTAGTCATTATTATTATTTATAAATTTTGATATTATCAATTAGTTTTGATAGTATTTAGTCATTATTAATAGGTTCCCTATCTCCGATGGGGATTCCCCGTCTCGTCTAAATGGGGAATCGAGTGAGGATGAGGATGAGAATGTAAATGAAAAAAGCATTCCCTGTTGATATCCCTATCGTCGAGCCTTGATAATCGATGAATGACGTTGACACCGAAGCAAGCATCTTGAATATTTTGTAGAAGACTGTTTGGGGAGGTCTTCTTTTGGCAGGGAACATCGGTCTATCTTTTTGGTTTATGTTGAATGTGGTTAGAAATATAATGTATAATGTCAAAAATTTTATTGAGGCTAGGTTTTCATATAACAAATATATGGAGAATCAAATTACTAAGTAGTCAGAAATTGAATATATAAATGCCTTATACATGGAATAAGACATATCATAATAGTTGGATACTTTGGTTTGTTCGGATGCATACAATGTTGATTATTGTTTAGATTGGTAAGTATTTGTAGAGTCATAAGATGGTTCAAACTACTCTAAAGACTTCTAATGAGATTATGGATTCTTAAAGGATTCTAATTATGATTTGAATTAGAGATCTACGTGAAAAAATAAGGCTTTAGTGAATTAAGACACACTGTTATAAGTAATTTATATATTTCTAGGTTTTGATTAAGAAAAAAAAATATGAAAAATATTTTAGATATTTTTGGATTTGTCTCTAGAGAGTTTAGAGAGAACGAGAGAAAATATGAATTTATATTTATTTAATATGATATATAAGAATGACAAAGCTCGACTCCACTATCTCTACCTCCATTCTCTCTCTCTCTACTATCTGACCTAAACTTGATCCAAAGTCTATGTTATACATTGTAATGCGACTTTGATTTTGAAGAAGACATGAAGCAAGAAACTCCAATCTATCACCTTCCTCAATAATTAGCAACATTTCAACTACACCTGGGCACAGTTGTGAATTTAGTCTATCATATGACACTCATGATAGACTACCAGCGACCTGCAGGTGGAGATGCTGGACGTGGCCCAAAAATAATTCATATTTCTTTGTCGGTGCATGTAAAGGCTTGATTGAAAGTAGTTATATGGAGGTGTCAATTATACTGATGGATTAGGTATCCGATGGGGACTTATCTTTAATATGGTGGTACGATTGAATAAATAAGAATGGGTGGGGATAATGAAATAAATAAGCATACACTTTAGGTACGAATGCTTGGCATACTTGATTTAAATCAAATTAAATCGAGTCTTGATTAAGTTAATTATATGCTATTTTGTTCAATTGAATTAAATAAAACAACATCAATATTCAATAGTAACATCCTCTCCCTTGTGGCCTATGTATCGAAGTAACCATTATTATTATTTATAAAATTTGATATTATTGATTAGTTTTTATAGTAATTTTTTTAAAAAAAAATTAAATGAATTAATTAAGAGAATACAGAAAACCTATAGTTTTCCCATCTCTAATTGGCATTCCCCATCCCTGCCCTCACCTCATAATGGGGAATATGATAAGGATGAAGAATGAGGATGAGAATGAAAATGAAGAAAGCATTCCTCACCCTACCTGCCCTATTGATATCCCTATCATCGAGCCTCGATGATCAATGAATGACATTGACACCACATGGCTTTTGAGGAGATGGTATTCTCTTCAAATCTAGAAATATAAAATTAAAAGCAAGCATCTTATACATTTTACAAAAGAGAGGTCTTCTTATGACATGAAACATTGATCTATCTTTTTGGTTTACGTTGAATATAGTCAAAAATATAATGTATAATGTTAACAACTTTTGTTGAGGTTAGGTTTTCATTTGTTGCATGCATAATCAAATTTCTAAATAGTTAACACTTATACGATGAACACCTACCATAATAGTTGGATATTTTGGTTTGTTCGGATGTATACAATGTTGATATTGGCAAATATTTTTAGGGTTCTAAGATGATTCAAACTACTCAAAGGACTTCTAAATTCTGATTATGATTTGAATTAGGGATTAGTGGAAAGATGAGGTCTTAGTGAATTAGGACTTATTGTCATAAGTAACTCATATATCTCTATGTTTCGATTAAGGAAAATAAAAATGTAAAAATTATTTGGGTACTTTTGGGTTTCTCTACGGAGTGTCTAGAGAGTATGAGAGAAAAATATAAATTTGAGTGAATTTTTCGGATATATCTCGCATGATATACAAGAAAAATTACTGTAAGAGATTAACGTGCCAATTTTACCTTTGATCGTAAGAACCAAACTGTTTATTAGATGCAACACCCCAACTTGGAATGTTGGAGGGGTACTACTACATTGTAATTTTCATAAGTTTTCCTATGAGAATTGGGAGTTTAAATATGAAAAAAAAAAACATAGACCTGTTAAAAACGTAAAACATAAATTTATACACTTTAACATCACTAGATAAACAACATCCACACAACAAATACTTCCAAATATCACCTATAATATCCAAATAAGTATTGTTTTATATTATGAGTTTCATAAGCCAAAGATTTTAAATCAACATATTTTATTTCCTCTAAGTGAAACAAACTGATGGGATCATAACATCACCACAATCCAAGAGGATAAAAAAAACCTATGAATCATTAACTTAGAGTAGCATAGGTCTAAACACCCATGCAAGGTACATCCTATTTTATTTTTTTAGTAGGATTTGGGTATTTGAGTGTTTAGATTGAATCAAAAAATTAAATCAAGCTAGAATCAAATTAGTTTGATCCAAACTAATTCATTAATGGTTTGATTTTGAAAATTATAAACGGGTATGATTTAGGAGGTTACCATTCTTTAGGTTTGTTAATTGGTTCAGATTAAATTAAATCAATTTTAATTTAAAAAATACTAACCTAATCCAAAAACTCAAAAACCCTAAAATCCCTATCCAAACTCGTAAGTTCATCACTCTTCTTTCATTGGCCTCACTCTCTTGTCTCAAGAATGAAACTTTATTTTTTTATTTTTTTATGACTCTTTGTTAACAATCTCTTTATCAATTTATATGCATAAGTGTATATCCTCGTAACTAATAAGAATTATAAGTAAATTCATTGTCTCTCTATAATATCTTTATTCAAGGGCGGGTTAGCTATTCATGAAGAGTGGGTTAGCTATTCATGAAGGGGAGGCACTGTCCCTTTGTCATATTACGAGTCTTTGATTCAAATGCGTCAATAAGACTATTGTTATTCAACTCTAAAACAAAACTATTGCTACCTAAGATAGCCATCTTTTAAAAGGGAGATAGAAGTATGTGGGATGTAATATTATTTAGAATGGTAAAACCAAGTGATAATGAACATGTAGTACTTTTGGATTTTTCCAAAAATACTTGTAATACTTAAGGGCAGACATGTTCACTTATGAAAATGCATACACCCAAGTCTTATAGATGGTTGAAGGCTATCATTAATGTATACATGAAGTACTTAAGGCTCGATTGAAGGTTATTACTATCTTGATATGGAGGTGTTAAATTATGCCAATGACTTAAGTATCCACGAGGATTTGTCTTTAATAGGGTGGGACAATGGATTAAATAAGGATGGGTGGGGATGATGGAATAAATAGGGATGGGTGAGGGTGACTCCACACCTAATATATGCCTATCTCTCGTTTTATTAATATATAAGCATAGACATTCGGTCTGAACGTTTGGCCTATTTGATTCTATTTAAATTGAGTCTTAGTAGAGCCAACTATATATTATTTGATTCTATTGAATCAATTGAAATAATATCAACATGTAACAAATAACACCCTCTCTCACATGACCTATGCGTCGAAGGAATAGATTCAACATTTAACCATTATTATTTAATATTATTAACTAGTTTTGATGATATTTTTATAAAATTAAATATATTAATTAGAATAATACGGAGAAACCATAGGTGCCCCATCTCTAATGGGGATTCCTCGCCCCGTCTAAATAGAGAATAGGGTGAGGATGAGGATCGGAACAGAAACAAAGAAAACATTCCCCATTGATATCCCTTTTAATAAGCCTCGGAGATTGATGAATGATGTCAATGTTGGGCTGACAGCCCATATTCAGGCCATATGAGCTTTATCAGCCCACGGCTCACATCCCCTCTTAACCTAACCCTAGATCAATATAAGGGGGTATGGTGGCTGCGTTTTGGCAAGGAG